TTTCTTTCTTTCTTTCTTTCTTTCTTTCTTTCTTTCTTTCTTTCTTTCTTCTGGCAGTTATATTTCTGACGTTCCAACTAATTTCCAAGGATGTTCGGAGTAAAAAGCTGCCTGACCAACTTCTGTGGTAGATCTTATTCATAAAGCATGTACTACCATCAAAAAGGGACAGACTCTGATGCATACATTCATGGCAAACAAGCAGTGGATATTTGCCTTCTTTAGATGTTGGATTTGCATATTGGATTTACCAAGAAGCACACAAGATTTCTAAAATCTCTGATGGCCAGCTGCATTCATCAGTATCCAGCAGGTGTTTCAAATATGGAAAATGATGGAAATCATGTCACAGAAGATATTTTAAAAATGACTTCAAATAAATGGTCAGGAAGCTTGAGAATGACATAGAAAAATCCAACCAATCTAATCTACTAGAAAAGGATAAAAGCTGAAGAAGCCTATATTTGAACTGGACAAACTAATGAAAGCAATAGTTCTGGAAAATCATTTGGGAAATAAAAATGCCTAGCTTAGCAAAAGATGGTGATAGATTTAAGCTATGGACCCAAGAATCTTCTTAAAAGCAGAACTTTTAAATGCTGACAAAAACGAATTCTTATGGAGTGGAGGAAGCAGGTAAGTGGTTAAGAGAATACAACATATAACATTTTAAAAATATTAAATAAAATTTTCTGTCCTCACAGAATCTATTATATTCACTTCATGCACAATTTATTCTCCTCTCTTTGTTCTATTGTCTTTAACTTCTTTGCCAAATGCTAGCCAGTATTTAAATTTTTTCTTCACCACAATAAAACTGTTATTTAAAAACAACAACAGGGTGCCTGGGTGCCTCAGTAGGTTAGGGTCTGCCTTCTGCTCTCAGGGTCCTGGGATTGAACCCTGCATCGGGCTCTCTGCTTGGCGGGCAGTCTGTTTCTCCCTCTGTGCTCTCTCTCTCTCTCTCTCTCTCAAATAAATAAATAAAAATCTTTAAATAAAAATAAAAAATAATTTAAAAATCATAATCCGTGTATATGCAATCACATTTATATACCAGCAGAAAAGGATGGTGAAAAACAAACCAGGAATGAGAAGACAGTGGTGATCAAAAATAAAAACTCATTTTTAAAACCAATCACACAGTGCCAGTAATATTAAACATTTATTGAGAGGGCTTACTCTGTGCCAGGCATCATGTACCAGTCGTTATGTACAATCCCACTTCAAGTTTACAACCAGTATGACTGTGTCAGCTGGATCCTCTCAGAAGCAGATGGAGCTTTACTGGGGGACAATGCCTGTGGAAGATAAAAGGTGGAAAAATTAGGATTGGGCAGGCAGTCTTCAGACCACACTGCAGATTTGACATCTGTTAAACGTCAGGTTGGACGGGGAGAGCCTCACTGAGACCTCGCTGTGGTCTGACGGAGCCTTGGCCATCCGGAACTCTGGAGCAACACTGGCCCACTGGAGGAGTCTCATCCTGGGCTGAAACGACAATGTCCATACGCCACTGAGCTCAGTCACTGGCCGGGGGGTTACTTAGGAAGATCATGATCTCGCCTCAAAATCAGAAGTGGCTCCTGAAGGTTCTAAGAGCTAAAAGCACTCCTCAGAGCTGACCAGCAAGTTCCTTCCTGCAGGGAGATCTGAGTGGTGTACCTCACGGCTGCCATGGCGAGGGAGGTTTTATTATGATCCCTGCTTTTCGGAAAGTAAAATGAAGCACGGAGGTTATGTAAATTTCCTAAGTTACACAACCAGTAAAGAGCTAATAAATGTCTCCTGTGTTCCTTGTGGCCGATAGTAAAACCTATTTTATAATTTAATGGAGTTTTTAGAAATGTTCAACGTTCATCAATCAGTCGTTTAAAAATGCCTTTTTAAAATATTAACTGTTTCATATTGTTTTTTAAATCTGCCAAGTATACAAAAAGACCACCATGCCAAAAATAAGTAAATAAATAAAGACTACTGTGTAAAAGTTTTACATTTTAGAAAAGCAAAATGATGGGGGAGAATATGCTCCAAGCTCCAGAAATGTTCAGTCCTATTTTTCTTTCCCCTCCAGTCAAAAGGTGGTGGTGTTCTTAACAATTAAATCTCTGGGCTTCAGGCGAAGGTGCTAAGTTTCAGTGTGGATGAAGAGTTTACAACGTAGTTCTAAACATCTGAAAACTGGAATTGCAGGAAAGCGCTAGGAGACCCGTAATTACAGTAGCGCTCCCAGGTGCTGCTATAACAGCTTTACTGCCAACACACTGGTCTCTTTTACCTCCTACACTAGGGAGGTATGAAGGGCCAGAGGAAATGGTCAAGCAGCAGACAGTCTAGCAGTTATAGGCACCACTTGCCTAATGACATTTTCTAAATCGATTTCTTTATTACCTGGAGACCCTTCTCCTTCCCCTTCAATTGTCATGTTTTCTTGACTCCGAGGAAAACATTGCTTTGGGCAAGCCCAAGAGCCCAGGTGGCACTGACCTTCAGAATTCTAGACTCCTCCATTCCTGCCAATTCTTTCACCGTAATCTGTCCAGGAAAAGAAGAAGGGTAGAGGGAAACCTAGGGGAGCAAATTGTAGAGCTAGAGTTGGGATCACCTTTGCATGAATAGAGTTCTTCTGGCTCTTTAGCTTTTTTTTTTTTCTTTTTTTAAAAGATTTTAGTTATTTGGCAGAGAGAGACACAGCGAGAGCAGGAACACGAGCAGGGGGAGTGGGAGAGCGAGAAGCAGGCTTCCCGCGGAGCAGGGAGCCCGATGTGGGGCTCGATTCCAGGCACCCCTTTGGCTTTGTTTTTAACATAACTTTCAAAGGCTATCTGACATGTTAGTGCATGCCCTTCCAGTCTCTCACTCTTGTGTTATTTTGTTGTTATTCCTTTTAACTATTATTTTCTAATTAGCTCTTCCTTACTCAATATCATGAACTTCTTTTTATGTCAGTACATTAATTTCTACAAATTTGCACATATCTGTAGCACAATTTATTCAAAGAATATCCCATCGTGGGGGCGCCTGGATGGCTCAGTCATTAAGTGTCTGCCTTCGGCTCAGGTCATGGTCCCAGGGTCCTGGGATCGAGCCCCGCAATGGGCTCCCTGCTCAGCGGGGAGGCTGCTTCTCCCTCTCCCACTCCCCCTGCTTGTGTTCCCTCTCTCTGTGTGTCTCTCTCTGTCAAATAAATAAATAAAATCTTTAAAAAAAAAAAAAGAATATCCCATCATGGAACATTTAAATTTTTTCTTTTCCTTCTTTTTTTATATTAAAAATAACAGTTCAGGGGTGCCTGGGTGGCTCAGTCGTTTAAGCATCCGACTTTTGGGTTTCGGCTCAGGTTGTGATCTCAGGGTTGTGAGACTGAGCTCCACGATGGGCCTCTGCTCAGCAGGGAGTCTATGTAAAAGATTCTCTCCCCTGTCGCTCCTCCCACTCATGCTCTTTCTCTCTCTCTCAAAATAAATAAATAAATCTTTTTTTTTTTTAAATTAGTGAACATCCTTATAAGCCAAATTGTTTTGGTAAATTTTTTGAGATAAAATTCACAAAACAAAATTTACCATTTTAACAGTGTTAAAATGTACAATTCAGAAACTGTTAGTATATTCACAAGATGGGGCAACCATCACCACCATCTAGTTCCAGAGCATTTCCATCACTCCCAAAAGAATCGCCATGCTCGTACCAATCACTCCCAATTCCCCTCTTCTCCCATCCCCTGGCACCCACTAATCTACTTTCTGTCCTGTGGGTTTACCTATCCCTGGGGTTTCATACAAATAGAATTATACTATATGTAGCCTTTTGTGTCTGGCTTCTTTCACTTAGCAACATGTTTCAAGATTCATCCATGTTGTGGCACTTTGGTGCCATAGGAATCAGTGTTTCATTCCTTTCTATGGCTGAATATTTGGCTGACATTTGGGTTGTGCCGACAAAACTAGGGAAACGGGTGCCTGGGTGGCTCAGTCGGTTAAGCATCCGCCTTCAGCTCAGGTCATGATCTCAAGGTCCTGCGACTGAGCCCTGCGTGGGGCTCCCTGCTCAACAGGAAGGCTGCTTCTCTCTCTCTCTCTCTCTCTCTCTCTCTCTCTCTCTCCCCCTTTGCCTCTCTCCCACTTATGTGTGCTCTCTCTCTCTCTCTCTCCCAAATAGAGCAGGACTAGATACTGAACTCCACTGCCAAGGACAAAGACAAGGCTATTAGTACACTGGGGGTTGGGAATGGAAAGTTGGATTTACAAGTGATTTTTTTACTTTGTTCTTAAAAATGTTGTTCCATTATCTTTACAATGAGAATACATTTTTCTAAAGCCAGACGCTTGGCGTTGTGGCTATGGTTATTTGTTCTGATGCAAGGAGGGTTATGTTTAATGCACCCATGGCACTCTGCATAACATGAGGTATCTGAAGTGAAGGAAAAAATCATGTGAACTTACTCACCTAATATATACATATATATTCTTTTAAATCAATAAAAAAAGAAACCTATATCTAACCAAGTAGTGAGTTCTCTCACAATGTGAAAAAATAAAAATGTGGGCTTTAAACATGGTTAACATCTAAAAGCTCTCTCCCTCAGATGAGTAAAACATTAGGCAGCTTGGTTCTCTAAGCCGTCTGGCATAGCTGATACAGGGAATATGCACTACAGTAAGGGTCAAGTTGGCAGTTTTTCTGTAGAGAGCACATTCTGCAGTTCCACTTCATATCCTACAAATCCCAAGCAATGTTGCTTTCTGAGCTTCTTTGATTAGAGAGAGACCATTCCACACAGTGCTATTTTTCCCATACTTCCTATCAATGGCAAGCCTCCATTTCATAAGATACCTCGTAGCAAAGTATTTTCTTTCCTTTTTCTTTTTTCTCTCTCTCTCTCTTTTTTTTTTTTTTTTTTTTTTTTTTTGTGGGGG